AAAAAAAAAAAAAAAAACAGCAGCCACCTTTAAAATGTAAATCCTCCCTTTTTCAAAGTAACGTGCCTAGGAAAATTTAATGCGTTAAAAGAAAACGTAACAAACCAATTACAACATTTAAAAAAAAAAACTAAAATGATCAGTAACACAAACCAATCGCTCAAGTTTAGCAAAGCGTGTGTTTTTAATCTGCTGTGGGTATCCTATTATACTAATAAGCAACAAAGTTTAAAAGTCATCCCAATACCTAAAACATCACCATACACATAACATACGTGTCATTTACTCCAGTGAAGCTTAAACTCAGACCCAAACTCAGATCATTTCCCCCTCCTGCCACACTGAAATATACAAGGTGAAATCCAAGAAATCACGTATGTTAAGTGCCGGTATCTTCTTCCAGCGTAGGGTCAAACTCGTGTTTGCCCTGTCACCGTCCCAATATGTCTGCAAATTCTCTCTAGCGCTGGAGTACAAGGAGACCTGACCACGGAAACACCTGTCCTAACACCAGGAAGACACTGGGAAACGCAAACCCCCCGAGTCCAAGCCGGCCCCAAAGCTTCGGCTGCAGCGATGGGGGGAACAAGAGGCGGCCGCTGGTCTCGCGGGTGCGGCGGACAAGGTCCTACACCCCGGTCCTCCTCCCGAGAACCAGGAAACCCATCAGGCTGGCCGGGCCCCACCCTCCTCAGACCCTCGCGCTGCAGCCCAGCGCGGCCCCCGCCCGCCCAACCGCATCCCTACGCCCCGGCCTCCCAGAGGCACTCTGTCACCTCATCCCTCCCCGGCGTCCTCGCAGCCCCGCTATCTTTGCAGCGCGGCCTGGGCTCCGGCCGCCCCTGGGGCAGGAGCGTCCAGCTGCCGCCCCCCGCCAGGCCCCGGCCGGACCCCGTCCGTTCCCACACCGCCAGGTCCCAGCCAGCCCAGGCCCGCGCTCCCGCCGCGAGCTCCCCACCCCCAGCCTGCACCCTGGCCCCGCGCGGCCGCTCCCGGCCCACTCCCTAATGGCTACCTGGAGGCAAAGGTGGAGAAGCACCTCACCCAGGGCCCCAGGTCGCAGAGGGCCCAGTGCTCGGGGTCTCGCTCCTGCTCCCTCTGCACCTGGTAGGCATAGATGGAAAGCAGGATTTCCGCACCACACATGGCATACTCGGCCACCCGCTCCCACCGCAGCACCAACACTCTCAGGAGGACCGGGGCCGCCATCTTACCCCTCCGACACCGCCGCCTCCTTCCGCCTTCACCTCGGCCGCTGCCCTCGGCCCGACCCAGCCGCCTTGCCCCATTGTCACGGTCGCTTGCTCTGGGCCCCGTCCCCACAGGCGCGCAGCCTAACCGCCCCAAAATGAGGCTGGCAGAGCAGAAAACGCGCGCCCGGCACGGAGGGAGGAGGGCTAAGCGCGCAACCGCCGAGGACGCCGGACTGGCTGGGAGACTGAGGCTGCGCGACGCCGCGCGTGTGAAGGGCGGGGCCGGGGTGAGGGCGGGGCCGATGTGATGGGCGGGACTGAGCAGGAGGGACTTAGGGGAGCCCTTGCCAGGAACATGCAGCAAGGATCCCATTTTGGGTGGCTGGGTGAACCCTCGGCCCCTCCCTCTGGGATGGCAACCAGTTGCCATCCTTTTTCCCTTTTTTGTCGTTATCACTTGATATTTCTGACACAATCCAAGTCACCCCTGGCCAATGGTTGGGGCTCCTGAGCCACCCTCCTATGACCTGATCTTCCCACCACCACCTCCAGGCACTTTGTGTTCAACCTGTGCAAAACTTTTTTTTAATATGCAAAACTACGTTTTAAATTAAAAAACTATTTTTAAAAAATGATTTATGGGCCAGTCACAGTGGCTAATGCCTGCAATCCCAACAATTTGGGAGGCAGAGGCAGGTGGATCACTTGAGGTCAGGAGTTCAAGACTAGCCTGTCCTACATGGTGAAACCCCCGCCTCTACTAAAAAATAAAATAAAATAAAAAATTAGCCAGGCATGGTGTTGTGCACCTGTAATCCCAGCTAAGTAGCTGGGAGACTGAGGCACGAGAATCACTTGAACCCAGGGGGCAGAGGTTGCAGTGAGCCAAGATCGCACCACTGCACTCCATCCTGGGCCGTAGAGTGAGAGTCTCAAAAAAAAAAAAAAAGTTTACGAATGCCTTGCTTCTCTGTAAGCTGAATTTGTGGTGGCTTACCATAATTCATATCATATAGAAAAATATAGACGAGCTAATAAAATCAGTATGAAGAAAAGGAAAAGTCAGGCCCAGGCGCGGTGGCTCATGCCTGTAATCCCAGCACGTTGGGAGACCGAGGCAGGTAGATCACTTGAGGTTGGGAGTTCAAGACCAGTTTGACCAACATGGAGAAACCCTGTCTCTACTAAAAATACAAAATTAGCCTGGTGTGGTGGCGCATGACTGTGATCCCAGCTACTACTTGGGAGACTGAGGCAGGAGAATCCCTTGAACTTGGGAGGTGGAGTTTGTGGTGAGCCGTGCCACCACACTCCAGCCTGGACAGCAAGAGGGAACTCCCTCTTGTTTCAAGAAAAAAGAGGGCCGGGCGCGGTGGCTCAAGCCTGTAATCCCAGCACTTTGGGAGGCCGAGGCGGGTGGATCACGAGGTCAAGAGATCGAGACCATCCTGGTCAACATGGTGAAACCCCGTCT